TGGCCACAGGTGATGGTGAGGGAGACACCCACCTGGAAGAGGGCCAGCCATGACAAGAGCCGATTAAAGGGAAGAGCATGGGGGGACCAGACGCAAGCCAGGCCACAGAAAACGGGAAATGGCACGATCTTCAGGGCATAGAAAAGGGGAGCCTCCCTCCACAAGAACCACGCAAGGTTCTGTTACCTCAACTGGTGGAGAGGAGTTTCTGCAGGTCACACCATCTGCCGTGCTGACAGACAGCGCCTGGCCGGGCACAGGGTCTTTGAAAGCTAGCCAAGGCCATTGCTTCAGCAGGCATAGGGTGTCTCTCTCCTTAGAAATGTATATGGGTCGGGACTAACCAAGTAAGTAATTAGACTCTCAGAGGAGGAAAAACTGTTGTTGTTTTTTTCCCCTCTCGGCAACCTAACAAGTCAGAGAGCAGTAATGACAGCCCTCAACCTCCTCACAAACGAGCTGGGGAGAGTAAGTCTCCCCAACACAATGCGAGTCCCTTCGCCAGAGCTCTGTTTACCTGGGCCTCCGGGGGCCTCTGCACGTACATGCACTCACACGTGGGCGGGAGCATGAACTTTCCAGAGAGGGGAAGAGAACCGACCCAGGGCGAGGCCGGCTGGGCTGGGACATCCTGCCAGGCCCTCAGAGCCCCAGGGGGATGTGTCCTGCCCCACCTCAGCCCACACAGGTGCTCAGGGCTCTAAAACCCCCCTGAGGGCAGCAGAGTTGAGTGTGGACCTTGGTGCCATACCCCTCTTCTCTCCCACCCAGTTATAATTCCCCAACACAGTGCGACCAGACCTGAGGTGTCAGGGCAGTTTCAAAGGAAGGGGCCCAGATGTCGCGGATAAATCAGTCCTCATCAACAGCCCTGGAAGTTGGTTCTTGGATGACAGGAAAATACCACCCAGAGGCCATAATTAAGGCTTCCTAAGTAGGCCATGCGCTCAGCTTTTCCTCAGCTCTGTGTCCCAAATGAGGGATTTCTGGAGGGCTGACACATAAGAAAATCCAGACTCGAAGCCTCCAGGCTCTGTCTCTATCTCAGTCTCTCCACACGTAAGGCAGTCATTTTAGGTGACTCCCAGAGCAGTACTCGGGCACTGGGGCTTTTCAAATGCCAGCGTGGGCAGCGGGGCTCTGCCAGAGGCTGGGACCGGAGGCGGCCCTTTGAGGGGCTCTCCTGGGATGGAATGGATGCTTTAAAAGGAAAAACGGTATCTGGCCTAAAATAAAGTGACTTTTCCATCTGTGTCATGGAAGAAGCTGTTTTTCAGGGCTGTGCTCCCGGCACCGGTGACATGGAATGAGAAAACCACACGTGTCCTAAGCACTCTGGCAGCCACTTGGCCAGCCCCGGCGGTTCTGAGCCCGGCTCTCAATCCCCTTTCCAGGCCTCCTCCACTCCTCTTGGGTCAGCACAGGTATCCAACGGTGAAGCAGGCTCCTGCCACCTCACCCCAGGTCAGGTGTCTAATGAGCTGCGCGCTCTCAGCCCGGGTCCTAATTCTCTGAGGTCCCGTAAGCCTATGCCCCGGGAGGAAAGGAGGCCCCAGGAAGGGGAGGAAACTGATTCTCATGAGAGGCTGGGAACTGTCTTACTTCCTGTTCCAGCTCTCATGACCTAACTTCCTCTGCTCCTTAGTGCTTAGATTCAAACTAGGTTCAGTGTGGCTTGCTTTAGTCACTTAGCTTCAACCCGAGTCACCGAAAGTGTTTACTCACTCAGCAACTGTTGATTGAACAAGGAGAGGGTGCTATTGGAAATGTTCGGGGGGGGGGGGATCCTGATGCTGGAGACCTTGGAGACAGCAGCTTGGTGGGAGAGCCCGATGCACAAATTGGAGACGAGCCCGGGAGAGGGACAGCAAATGGCCCAAGCGCACGCAGGCAGGTGGCCAGGGTGAGGGGCACACCCCGAGGAGCAGTGTGACAGACGAGGCTCAGAGACCTGAACCCACGGAGGATTTCAGAAGCAAAGGAACGGTGTGTGGCTTTGGGATGGAGACAAGGGCACAGAGGCAGAAGAATATCCAGAACTGAAAGGCAAAGGAAGTCACAGCTCTTGGGAGGTGATCCTGTCATGAAAGGGATCCATGTCCTCAGTGAAAAAGGAAGCCTGTCTATCAAAGCAGGACTTCAGTTTTTCTTTTCGTGGTCCTGGAGATGGAATCCAACTCTTTGCACATGCTAAGCACATGCTCTACCGTTGAGCTACATTCCCAAGCCCTGCGCTCATGTTTTAAACCCATGTACAGTTATTTCATCGCCCCAACCACAGCACGAGCACAGGGCACGCCATTCTCCCCAGTACTGACTCTGCCTCTCCCAGCACCCCCGTGAGTCCTGCTGATCTTGGCGCTTCTCCCCTTTTTGTTAGGCTTGAACTCGTTCTCCGAAATCTTCCCTTCCCCACTGAACCTCTTCCTCAGAGACAGGGTGTCACTACGTACCCTAGGCTGGCCTTGAACTCTCAGCAATCCTGTCTCCCTCCCCCAGTCCGCTTGCCATTTGTGCACTGTGCTCTCCTACCAACTGCAGCCTCTGAGGTCCGGGAATACAGGTGTGAGCCGCTGTGCCCTGCTCTCTTGGGACTTTCAACCAGCTCCAAGGGCGCTCTTACTTTTCACTCTTCCCCACTCCTCCTGGGCAGAGGTTCCCCCTTTGTTGTCCCTAACAACCTCCCTGCATGCCTCCCTGGCATCTCTGCGGGCCTCTGGCCTGTTGATTCATGGCTCTGCACCCAGCATAGATGATGGCGTCCCCAGGCCACCTCTCCTTTCCTCTGCCCTCGGTAACACACACCACTGCCTGGTGTCACCTAACACCAGAGTATTCAAGGCCCCCACCATTCAGACTGCATTGTGCCAGACCACAGACACACTCACACTGGCTAGAAAAAAACAGACAAAAGCAAAACAAAAACCCACCTACGCTTAAAGAAGCTTCCAGTCTGTTTCTACGGTGAAAAGGGAGTCTGTGGCGGTGCAGAGGACTGAGCACACCTGTCCTGTTGGGTCTGCACTGCCACTGTTCTGCTCTGTCTTTCTCAGTCTGGGTCTCCCAGCGCCAGGTCATCTCACGGTCCAAGAAGACAACTATGGGCCCAGCCATCACATCTCAGCGCCAGACTTTATTCATGTATATGAATAAAGCCAGAATATATTCATGTATATCATGTGTTAAACACACACACACACACACACACACACACACACACACACACACACACACACACACAGATCTGTATGTGAGAAGAAACGTATTTGTCTTTCTGAGTCTGGCTTAATTCAACATGACGAGCTCCAGTTCTACCCATTTTCCTAAAAATGACGTAATTTTATTCTTACTATATAGCCTTGACCGGCCTGGAACTTGCTCTGTAGACCAGGCTGGCCTTCAACCCACAGAGATCTGCTTGGCTCTGCCTCCCAGGTGCTGGAACCAGAGGTATGTGATACTATACCTGCCTGCATACTGTTTGAT